TGTTTCCCACTGGTACTTACCTTTTCCGGTAGGTTAATGTAATTGTGTTTTCCTTAATGTAGTTGCGCTTTGCTTTATGTAGTTGCGATTTCCTTAATGTAGTTGTGCTTTGCTTTATGTAGTTGCGATTTCCTTAATGTAGTTGCGCTTTTAGATTTGGAGTTGCAGTTTACACTTCAGGGCCACCGTACGCATTGAAAAATTATTTAACTAAAAAATTAAATAATTTAAATTAAATTCAAGAGTATAAGTGAAATAATTAAATGTTGTTTAAAAATATATTTCGTTAATAATGTTAAAATAAATTAAGACTAAAAGAGTTAGATGTCTTGTTAGTGGTCAGCAGTGTGTGGGATTGTTATTTTGGGGCCACAGGCTGAAATGTTTGGGAACCCTTGATTTAGAGCCTCAGTTCCTCTCTGATGCACTCCTACCTTCAACTCACCCCACAGCTTTTCTTTAGGGTTTAGGTTTGGAGAACGAGACAGTCTTTCAAGGATATTCATTTTGTTTCTGGTGAAGCCATTCCAAAACTGTTGAAAAAATTAAAAAACAAACCACTGGACTTTGTTTTCCAAGGTTGAAAGGACTATGAAATGACTTTGACCTGGATGACTAAGAATCTTCACCAGCACATTCTGGTGAAGAAATTCTGTGTCCAACCGGATCTACTTTCTGTTGAAAGGGAGGATCTAATGATGAACCACACAACGTGAGCTTATTCCACTGAAATGAGAGATAAGTGTAGGAATTTCTAGGCTTTTTAAAAATGGTTACTGGTGACACAAGTTAATGCATGTGTCTCTAACCTTACATCTTGTGATGTAAATATGATTATTTATTTGTAAGTTTTTATTAGGGCTATGATTAATTTCTGGAATTAACGCAATATTTTTTTAACGCATTAACGCATTCCCGCCCTGTTTTACCCACAATTCAATTGTCCGACATGAGCGAGATAGAGGAATCGGAAGAACCCGTTGGCCCGCTGGATGGACAATTCGAGTATAAAAAGAAACAAAGACGGGACAATAAATAAACATGTTGTGGTTTGCTTGCACTGCGAGAAGGAGTTTTCATTTCACCGAAGCACCTCGAGCCTTAAATATCATCTTAATGCCAAGCATTCATTTGTTGGGGCTTCAACTTCAGGTGTTACGAC